GAATATTGCAAAATATGGAACGCTTCACGAATTTGCGTGTCATCCTTGCGCAGGGGCCATGCTAATCTTCTCTGTATCGTTCCAATTTTAGTATATGTGCTGCCGAAGCGAGCACGATAGTCAGAGCTGGCCAAGCTCCTTATGTACTGCGTCCCCCCGTATACTTTCATGTTGATGGGTGGGCGCATACAGCTTGTAGTACTACTATTTCATCAATTAAAGCTTAAAATTTACCAACTACTACATTTTCTTACATGGATGGTTTATTTTACAATTGCTTACATCTAAAAATGAATCATTTTCTTGTATTATTTCTTCTTTTCTTCTATTATTTTTCTCTTGGCAGATCCAGTGCAGCATGCTGGGAAGGATGCAAATTCGAATCCTCTCCTGAGTAATTTATTGGTCGACTGGGAGAGGAATCCAGTAGGTGTCGATGACAACTTCCTGCCAGTTTCTTGCTGGGATATCCAACTTCCTGTTTAATGGTGGTCGGCAAACACAATGGAGCAATCGGGGTTGTTGTTCAGCTGTTCTCTCAAAAATCTTCCACAAATGACCATGGCACACGTTACACGATCAGTGGAAAGCCGCATACCATCGAAAAAACTTGAAAAGGGGCACAAATATTTTCATAAAAATTCTTTTCAAAGGTGCAGGTAAGTGCTCTCTTGTTAATGCTACTTTGCTAGCTAGTATCACATGGCATGCTAATTTTAAGCAATTTTATTATTATTATTTCTTTGTTCTTTGTACATGATTAGTATCAAACGTGTTGAATATAGAGATTAGTGGTAAGATGCAGGTGTGACAGATCAATGAGGAAAAGAGAGGAACCACATTCCCTACAGATTTTGTGTAGCAGATTGGTGCTGGTTACCTCCCTGCCAAAGCAGCTCCACTCAGCTTTAATGTTTCTGTGTGTATGGCATTGCAAGAGCTTTGTGTCTAAAGTGAATAGTGTGTAATCTGCTTAAATTAGTCAATATTATTGTGACAACAGTTAATGTCACATGATAACTTGGTATGATAAGTTGCTACACAGTAAGGGTGCTTGATAATAATACAAATATAATATGACTGGTAGAGGGCTACCTGTACTGGCTGATTGCCTTAGTGTCATATTGCTCTTGTTTTTCCATGAAACTTTGTTCAGATGGCCTATGTTAGCTCATCATTAATTATTGTAACAAACATTTCATTCCATGCCTTATAGTGTCACACTTCTTTGTCCACCTGTAGGTCACTTTACAGGTTGAGCCTGTGCAGTTAAACAGCACATTATGCTCATGCACTGCAGGGAAAGCACTGTGCGCCGACCTGCTCGCCTTGCTTTTCCAGTGTGCACATGGTAGTATGATGAAAATCCAGACAGCCCCATCAAGAGTGCCATGTGCTGACTCTCTGCAGACCTGACATCGGCCAAGGACTTGGGTAATTTGCATTCGTTTATGTGATATGCATTTCATAATAAAACATTATTTTTGTATTTTTTATAAATTCACGTATGTCTCTGGAAGTTATTATGATTTGCTTATTTCATGACCACCCGTCACAACCATAAGGTCCACACAGTACGCAAGTGCTCCAGAGCTTCCAAAACTACAAACAGGGACTAAAATAATAAGACTGTCAGTGATCGACAATAAAAGCCAATCTAAAAAATAGGTTTTTAATCGTGATTTAAAAAGAGACTGAAGGAGAGGACCTTATCTCCAGTGGAAGAGTATTCCGGAGATAGGTGTTACATGATCCCGTTTTTTGTCATTAGCCTAGCTGTGGCGCTCTGAACTAGTTGTACGCCACAGAGTGATGACTTACTGATTCCTGAATACAGAGAGTTACAGTAATCTAAGTGGGATGAAATCAGGGCATGAATAACTTTCTCAAGATCTGGAGGTGATAATTATTTTTATAAGATGATAAAAAGCCGATTAACTATAGAATTAATTTGCCGATCAATCAGTGAAAGACAACACCCAAATTCAGTGCATGATCTTTAACAAAAGTAAAAAGTTCCGCCGGAGCAGGAACCTCTGGAGCTGGAACAGGAACCTTAGGTGCGGGCACCACAGGGACTGAAACCTTGGGCGCCAGAGCAAGAACCTTGGGCGCGGGAACCTTGGGTGTCGGAGCAGGAACTTTGGGCGCAGGAACCTTTGGTGCCGGAGCAGGAACCTCTGGGGGCGGTGCAGCAGCTGTCGGGATAGGAACCACGGAGGGCTGAGCAGGAGCCGCCAAATCAGGAACCATGGGGAGTGCGGCTGAGGGCGGCTGAGGTTGGTGGCTTTGCAGCGTGCCTTGTCGCCCTAATGAACTTGGGT